GTATGTTGCGGTTTGTTAAACCGGAGCCACATGAAAAGGGTTTAAAAAATTTCAAGTGTGCATTTAACCAATGGAAAATTGTGCATATTCGTTTGAGATTGTGCACATGCATAAAAATTACGTAGGTAAATGACGAGTGACCTTGAAATGACGTGACGTACAGTGGCTAAATAAACCTTTACATACAGTGGCGACAATAGAGGTTCCGCCGCCATCTTGTTCCCAACCTCTTGTTACTTTTAAATATTAGTATATAGGATTTAAATGGACATCTATCATAAAAAATTGAAATCGACGTATTTGATGACCATTATTAGGTCCATCAAATACGTTGTTTTCCATGATTTATGATGAATGTTCAATGTTCACCTAAATCCCATATATTCATATTTAAAAGTAATAAGGGGTTGGGAACAAGATGGCGATGTTTTCAATATAAATATATGGGATTTTAGAACCAATCAAAAATGAGACAGCAATTGTCGCCACTGTGGGTTATAGAGTCACTGTAACGTGACGTACAGTGACTCTATAACCCACAGTGGCGACAATTGCTGTCTCATTTTTGATTGGTTCTAAAATCCCATATATTTATATTGAAAACATCGCCATCTTGTTCCCAACCCCTTATTACTTTTAAATATGAATATATGGGATTTAGGTGAACATTGAACATTCATCATAAATCATGGAAAACAACGTATTTGATGGACCTAATAATGGTCATCAAATACGTCGATTTCAATTTTTTATGATAGATGTCCATTTAAATCCTATATAATTAATATTTAAAAGTAACAAGAGGTTGGGAACAAGATGGCGGCGAAACCTCTATTGTCGCCACTGTATGTAAAGGTTTATTTAGCCACTGTAACGTGACGCAACTATTAGCGCCATCACTTGGGTTTTACAGAAAGCAGGAGTAGAACATCTTAAGACGGTTTTACACTGACAATTTATTGGTCAATTTATTATTGATCAAGTCGCTTGTCAAGAAATATTGATAATGTAAAATGCCAACTTGGCGACAATTTAACTTGTCCAAGTTCTTGCTCAATTTATTTACGGATTAGCGCATGTTCTATTTTTCCATCAATTTTTGTGTCAATTCAGGCTTTAAACCTAGAAATGACACTTTAAAAATATTAAAGCGAGGAGAGAATAATTATTTTTATTTATCATTTGCTTGTTGATGTTCAGTTTATTTTTCTATCTTCAGTTTCTTCTAGTTTTATTATTAAACATCCTTAAATATATTTCTGAGTGAACAAGAACTTAACCTTGAATTTCTGGTTAAGTTGGTAGAATTGTTTATTGTCATTTCTGTTGTCTACAAGTTGATTCGATGTAAAGCGAAATTAAGCCAACAAAAATTGACAAATAAATTGGCAAACAAATTTATCAATTTAAATTGTCAGTGTAAAACTAGCATTACAAGTTGTTGACAGGCAAAAATTGATATGTATAGATGGCGACGAAATAAAATGAAAATAACAGTGACTCGCGATAAACCTTAGTTCTATTTCAACAGATATGAGAACCGTTCCAGGACCAGTAATTTCCAGTTGCCCACCTATTTTTCAATAAGTTGAACATTTATTCTAATCGACAAAGGAATAAATCGACGGGAAATAACCGTTCAAGAACGGTTCTCATGCCTGTTGGAACGGTGCTCTTTTTACCAACAGTGATGACGATGACAATGAAAGTAAGCCGCCATTATGTGGCTCATTTAACTCTCTTTTCCCAGTTACAAGTCTAGAGGTGCTTTCTCGCGTCTCAAATATTTTAAAACATTTTTCAAAATAGATTTAAAATAGTATCACATGACGTCATAACCTATCGACGCGAGAAAATGGTTTAAAAACTTGGATTGGATTGTATTTTGACACGGTTTGAACCAATTTTAATGTGACGTCACCGGTAACAATCGCGAGAATATACTGTTTTAAACCTGTTTTGAACCAGTTTTAGAAAAATTAACTCGAGAATACAGCTTTCAGCTTAGCTCAAAATAACAGATGTCAGTAACCGAAACAAACGCGCAAGGCGAGGTTGCCAAAAGTTTGCTGAAGGAAAATAATTTTGCTTTAGCTGGATTATGAAAATTGTGCATATTTTATGAAGATTGTGCATACGGTGCATATTGAGATCAAATTGTGCATAATATGCACAATTGTGCACCTTAGAACATCCCTGGGGTTTATGTAAATTTAGGTTAGGTTAGAGTAAAAAATCAGTAAATGTCAAAGATAATAGACACTATTACTACAGGATGGCCTATCCTCATAAGGCCTGTGTGTAACAAATCCTCTCCTTCCCCCCTACGCCAAACAATCAGTTGTGACCTAAGCAGCATGGCGTTTCTTGACTTGACATAGGCTGTTTAAACAGCCGACGACTTGTTTATGACGTCGGCAATGGTTGAAAACAGTTGAAAACCAATATGGCGGCGATTACCAAAAACGAGGCCGATAAGCACTCCTTTCAGTAGATGTCAGGTCTATTGACTCGGTCTCATGCTTACTGTCGTGAATATTGTAATTTTGTCAGTATTTACTTTTTTTTCTTTATTCACATAACATATTGATTGGCGACGAGAAGTGGTTCAAGCTCAAGCAGAAAAATTAAAGTTCGAGTCAAAAAAAGTGCTAGTTTGTGTTCGTTTCTCAAGTCAGAGTAGTCAGAGTGAGTTGTCGGGCGTAGTTCGCTCAGTTACCAGTCCTGGAAAAGTGTCAAAAGTCTATTACAGTGTTGCCAGAGGTGATACAATTGTACCAGGTTTGGTATCATTTGATTTGAAAAAGTACGCTGGTACGTATATTCGGTACAATTTTCAATTTTTTTATTTTTTCCAAATTTTCAAAGAGTCTTAGCCTACTGTCTACTTAGTCTAATGTCGATGTTCTAATTAACTTGTATTTCTGTATCCAAATTCGATATAACAATAATTTTTGATTCGTAAATAGATGGCGTCACCAATGTAACACTCGTTTTGTGGTTTTTGGTTGACGTAGTTTGTGTTTAGTTTAGGTTTTCGGCAGAAAATAAAGAAAACTAAAAGCCTCGTACTTTAAATCGGTTTTCCTAATCGGAAAAGCGGAAAATCCAACGAAAAACCATTGAAAAGTGACATTCCAGAGCCTACTTGATGAAACTTAAGTCTTTGTTACTTACCCCGTTGAAAAACTCGAAATTTTTGATACAAAATGAAGGAAACTCAAAGCCTCGTACTTTAAATCGATTTTCTCGATCAAAAACTGCCCGGAAAAGTGGAAAATTCGAGAAAAAACTGGATAAAAATATAAACACGTCAAATGAAAATGACCGACTGTCAAAAATGACAAATGATGTTTATTACAAGGCCTCCTTGATTGAAGTTAGCGACAAGCGGTATTGCCACATCAAAAGCATCTTAAATGGGATTTTGCTAATTATGGCATTTAAAACAGGATATTTTTGCTAGAAAATGAAGAAAACTCAAAGCCTCGTATGTTAAACCGCTTTTTTCCATTAAAAATTCCCGGAAAGTCGAAAATTCGCAAGACGTCACTTCAAAATGGCCGACTAAAAGCAACATTGCCACATTACATCTCGGAAAACAAAAATAACATTTTAAATGAGTTTTTTGTTTAAAATTCAATTAAAAATCGTTAAATAATTAATAAATAATGATTAAAATAATTAAAATTCCCTAGATAAAGCATCGGAAACTTGTTTTTAGTTTAATTTCAATAAAAATGACATTACAAGGTTTACTTGTTGATTATAGTGAGTAAAACAAAGACAACTATAAAGTAGTATATGTTTGCAAAAACCACCGTTTTCTGAAAAAAGTGAAAATCTTAAGAAAACCTAATAGAAAACCAACATCCCAAAGTCAACTTGATAAAACTAAAGTTTTTGAATATTCCCGGCTCTTTGATTGGGCGCTAAAAATCGCATTTTGAATATTCCCCCCTTCGGGCTCTCGTATAACTCCGGCCCTTCGGGCTCGCATATAATTAACAATTTTCCCGATCGAAACCGGCCTGGAAAAGTGGAAAATTCGAGGAGAAATTGGATAAAAAAACTCGAAAATGGCCGACTGTTCAAAATGCCAAATGACATGACATTACAAGACCTACTTGATTAAAAGCAACGTTGCCATAATTACAATCTCAAACATAATGATTTTCCAGATTTTAGTGAGTAAAACCAAGAAGAAGATAAAGTAGGATACATACAAGATAAAGAGCGAGATAAAGCAGAAAACAATTTAAATGATTAGTTGGTCGAGCCAAACTATCATCAGAGTAAATTTTCGATTGTTCCCGGCTTAAACACTTGGAATGATTACTCAATTTTTTTTTGACAACTGACAAGCCTATATACAATATTATGACTTTTGACAATTGACGAGTTCATTGTCAGAACCACCTACGATGGTTATGACTTTTTTTGTCAATTGACAGCCTTGTGATTCAGATTGAGGCCTACAACAGCAACGTTACCACATTTTAACAGTAATTTTAAAGCATTTGTAATTGTAAATGTAAAACGTTGACAAGTGGCAATTGACATCAAGAAACGATTGTTATGATGTTGTAGGCTGATTGAAATTTTTAACTTTTGACAACACAAATTTTGACACTGTAACGCTAGGAGAATGAAATGGCGTTTTTTTTTTTTAAATCTTGAGCCCGAAGGGCGAGAGTGTTCTCAATCTTGAGCCCACAAGGCAACAAAGAAACGCCATTTTGTATCGAGTTTTAAAGAAAACAAGGCCTACTTTGAAATGTCAATTTTTTAACGTTTGTTGTATCATAAGCAGTATTGCCATATGTTTTTTTCAAATCTCTAGCCTGAATGGCTGGTGTTGTTGAGTTGGCCAAGGTTATATGAGCCCCAAGGGCCGGAGTGTTATGAGTCCGTTCATTGTCAACTGATTTTATTACTTATTATGAATATCACAGGTTTGTGATGCCCTTAGATGTTCTGGGCCGCACGCGCGCTACACTGGAGGAATCAGCGTGTCCTCCCTGGGTCCTTATTCTTGAAACAAGGGAGAAGCGTTCTCAGGTGAACGAGTATTCCGTCTTTGTTACTTATATTATCATTTGCAAATCATTGAGAAAGACAGAACTCTCGTTCTCCTGAGAAGGTTGCTCCCCTGTTTTAAGAATAAGGACCCTCGCCGAGTTGCCGAATAAACCGCTCTCGTACAATTTTGGTACAAAAAATTTTTGCTCTCTGGCAACACTGGTTGTCTTACTTTTCAGGTAGCACTGAAGATGCACTAGGCCGAAAGCGCTCTGCACTAATTTATAAATAAAAATTTTGCACGAAGTACAAATCTCAACTTTCTCCTTTACATTCCTCAACGTGCATATAGCTTCAAATTTCCAAAGAAAAAAAAGCCCCAAATCAAAACTTGAAACAGTTACAAACAAAATAAACTTCATAAATGAGTAACTTGATGTTGTTTTTCAAGCTCAGACTCAGATTTTGATCCATCAATCACATCAAAATTCTCTTTAGGTAACTTAAAACAAAATCAGTCTTAAATCCTACGTAGGCGAAGCATCTTTTGCAGCCTCCGGACTCGCACTATTACCCAGCTCGTGCTTGCGCTGCAACGCTTGCAACGTAAGCGGCGGCAGCAACGGAAAATTCAACCCGGCCGCGTGCTGGAAATTGGCGACGTGCTGTAAACTTTGCAGCAGCGCTGCCGAGTGCTCTTGAGCTTTCCGTCTAAGCTCGGCCACGCTCGATTGTCGCTGATCGCTGCCTTCGGGCGAGATCGTCGACGCCGAGTCGTTGTTTGGGAGCAAATGGTGCGAGCTGCCGAGTGGTTTCATTGGACAACACGAACACAAACCTGGGAAACCTGAAAAGAAAGATTTTATTCGGATTAGTTAGGTGGTAAAAATTTGGGTCATATACATTACATGTACGCTTTCTTTATAACTAATAATTTTATGATTTATTAAAGAATGAAGCCTCTAAATTTGCACCTGATCCTTATTTTCAAACCTCATCTTAAGTTTAAATCGAATTACTTATATCGACAAAAAATCCAAACTACTCACCTTTCAAAGTTGGGAATAGCGGAGGCGAAAATTGCGAGCTCAAGTGCGAAGCCAAATGGGGCGGAAAAAATAGCGAAGGCGGCGTGTTTCTGGTAGCGCCGTCCATGACCGGTCTGAATCCGCCGCCGGCGCTGCAATAAACAAAAAAAAATTGTTAATTAAACGAGGCATTTTTGCCTTTAGTAATTGCCGCCGAATTTTCCTTTTTCTCTGAGCCCTTGAATTATTCAGCTGATCGAATTAGGGCTACCGCGGCATCATAAAAATGGCCTATTTATTATTTAAATCTTTGGGAGGGTGAGGTGCACTAAAGCGTAATAGGGAATTAACGAGTGGTGGCTGAAGGAAATTTCTTCTGTATTTTTTAATTTTTCTTTGGAGTTTTACTAACAAAAATTCATGTCATTGATCTTGGTCAGTGACCATTGCATACGGTTTATAATTTTCAAATCGCTGTTGAAAGTTGTTCTTCCTTTTTTCTAACATAACTCAGTAGGCTTTGATAGTCCTTTACTCCTAAGTTTCAAAATTTATGTACTATTTAATTTGTCAAATAAATAATCATTAACAAAGTAAAAGATGGTATTATTTTTAAATAGATTTAGTGAAAGCAGACAATTGTCAAGCTACAAAGTTTCAATTTATCATAGGAGTCATAATTCCCAAATTACCAAAAACGAATTTAGGAAGACCTCTCCACCGTCAGAGCGAAATTTGCCATCCAACCTAATCGAATCAGGGGGCATTTCGTCGTAGTCGGTCCAAAAAGCAAAGCCCTCCTATATCTACATATGTATATACCTACTCCGAGTGGCTTAATGCAATTTAATATAGTTTGCATTAATTGCCATGGCACGTTTCATAATCGACGGATCTGGGGGGTTGTGTACACACCACATTTCCATATTTGGAAATTAAATCGTAATGGCACCCTTGACGGTAACTGGAATTTTATCAGTAGCGTAACCAATTTATGTATGTATGAATATAAGAATCTAGCAGTAAATGTTCATAAAGTCTAAATATCAATTTTATTGAACCGAAAATTTCAGCTCGAAGCACTTCTTTTTTTTTTGCCTTTCCATATCACAAAAGCCCTCAATTTGAATACATCAGAGAAGAAAACAGGAAAAATATATCCAGCTCTCCCATATCTTAAAAATCGAGATTTTTGCGTTTAAATTTTTAAAGGTAAAATTTGCTTACGCTCTTTTGCTGTAGGGAAACTACATTTGGCCGTCGCAAACCGGATCTATAAAACATATAAATTCTATATTCTTTCTGTGAAGTGCCATATTACGTTTTCGGAAAACGCCGGGGCCTCGCAACGCAAGACAAGATGGAGATTTTTAAATATTCATCGGGACAGACACAAAGAGGGTAATATTGTAAAACGAATTTTTCATTTGCTGAAACGTGCGGCGGGCGAGGGGCGGAGGAATACACAAAAAGCTTCCGGATAAAAAGGTTTTCGGGGTCGTAAGATTTAAAAAATCGTTAATCACGATTTAGGGATTTTTTTCTTGTGCTAGCGTTATTTTTTCTTAGTTTCCAAGAAACAGGAAGACGTAAAAAGCCACCTATCTTATCAAAAGCTCATTTGTTCTTGATTGTAGTGAATTGGTTTATCATTGTTGGTTGAGCAATAGGGTTTCTATGTTGGGGCATTACAGGCTTTATACATTTGTATTTGGAAAATCCAATTTTACTGGTTCTTACTTAAGTAAGTTTTGATGATATACTGGGAAACTCTAGTTGTACTACTGGTTCTTGAGTTTTAATAACACTTAGGGCACTAGACATTGTTTTTTTCAATATTTTCATTCTTTGACGCAGGTTAAGGAAGCTGTGGAATACTGAGTTCTGATTGATGACAATTTTGTACATCATTCTTTATTGGTTTGGGTATAATTTATTTGAGTTGCTGCACCTTAAGCTTTTTTAGTGGGACTTCTTGTTTTATAGACGATTTCTCCAGCTCTCGTTTTTGAAGCTCCACAACTTCTGGAGATAGTTTTTGAGGTTCCACAATGTAAGTATGTATATATGTACAGGGTGTACAAAGTACAAACTAGTGGGTTGCTGTGGAACTTATGGGTGGACCTCTGCGGGACGAGCGCAGCGAGTTCCGCAGCCATCTACTCACCAATATGTTGTTCAAGTACGATACTAACCTGACTCACTCAAATGTCAGTTATTCTCATCAGTTCAAAAACTAAACGTTTCAGGTGTTTTATTTGAATAGTTCAACAGTACCTATATTGGTAAATAGATGGCTGCGGGACGAGCGTAGCGAGTAATTAAACAACATATTGATGAAGAGATGGCTGCGGAACTCGCTGCGCTCGTCCCGCAGAGGTCCACTTATAAATTCCGCAACAATTCACTCATTTGCACTTGAATAACTTGTCACATTATGTTACAAGTTTGGCAAAGTATCATTATTAATTCCTGTTAAAAGGCAAATTGACAAAAAGTGAATAATCTTATAAATTTTGACTTTATATGATAAGTTATTGTTGAAGTACAAATAAGTGGATTATTGCGGAACTTATGGGTGGACCTCTGCGGGACGAGCGCAGCGAGTTCCGCAGCCATCTACTCACCAATATGTTGTTCAAGTACGATACTAACCTGACTCACTCAAATGTCAGTTATTCTCATCAGTTCAAAAACTACACGTTTCAGGTGTCTTATTTGAATAGTTCAACAGTACCTATATGGGTAAATAGATGGCTGCGGAACTCGCTACGCTCGTCCCGCAGAGGTCCACCCATGAGTTCCGCAACAATCCACTCTTTTGTACTTGAATAACTTGTTACATTATGTTACTAGTTAGGTAAAGTAACATTACTAATTCCTGATGAATGGCAAATTGACAAAAAGTTAATAATCTTACAAGGATAACGCACACCTAACATGGGATTTTTGGGCTCTATGGATTTTTCCCATTTTTTGATATGTTGTAGAAGATTTAATTCTGAACAACCTTTAAATGGGACGAAATCTTGTAGGCATTACAGCCTCTGAGATATGAGCGTTGAAAAATGAACTTTTTTGCTACTTTTTGTGTGGAGAATATACGAGATACTGGTGCTACTGGTGTTTATCAGTCAAAATATTGACAGGTTCACATATTTTACGTCACTTAAAAATTAATGTCAAAATAGGTTAAGACCGGGACCGCACTAGGATCAATGTTGGCGCCAGTGCGGTCCCGGCCTTAGCCTATGTTGACATTTGTTGGTGACGTGAAATATGTCGACCTGTCAAAATTTTGACTGATAAATACCAGTTTTTCGTATACTCTCCATACAAAAAGTCGCAAAAAAGTTCATCTTTCAACGCTCATATCTCAAAGACCGTAATAGTCCAAGAGCCCAGAGCCGCCAGACACAACTTATTTTCTAAAGGACAGAATATGTGGAATTGTGTAGCACTTATATGTACTATGAACGTATGTATACCCGCTAAGTTGGGTAGACGGCCAATTTACTAACAGGAGGTGCGAGAGCTGAAGAAAGCTTCAACTTTTTTTCTAACGCTTGATTTTTATATATGGTATTTGGGAGACTATTTTATAACTACGTGTGCTCAGCCAGACCAATCGCACCGGCCAAACATTCCCCCAGACGCAAAATAATTTTTCCGGGAGTGTGAGCGCGAGGGTACTATGCATGCGTTTGAGAGTGAGCGAGATATCTATGTCAACTGATTTCCTCCTCTTAAACGTACAGTCTACTCTAGGCTAGAGTAGAAATGGGATTCGGTTTTTCCCATAATAGGAAAAACCGTTATTTACAAATAACAGTCAATTGGCCGTCTACTCAACTTAGCGAATATACATACGTTCATAGTACCTATAAGTGCTACTCAATCCCACATATTCTGTCCTCGGCTCTGGGCTCTTGGACTATAATACCTACAAGATTTCGTCTCATTTAAAGGTTGCTAAGAATTAAATCCTCTACAACATATCAAAAAATAGGCAAAATCCATACAGCCCAAAAATCCCATGTTAGGTGTGCGTTATTCGTAAGATTATTAAGTTTTTGTCAATTTGCCTTTCATCAGGAATTAGTAATGTTACTTTATCAAACTAGTAACATAATGTAACAAGTTATTCAAGTACAAAAGAGTGGATTGTTGCGGAACTCATGGGTGGACCTCTGCGGGACGAGCGTAGCGAGTTCCGCAGCCATCTATTTACCAATATAGGTACTGTTGAACTATTCAAATAAGACACCTGAAACGTGTAGTTTTTGAACTGATGAGAATAACTGACATTTGAGTGAGTCAGGTTAGTATCGTACTTGAACAACATATTGGTGAGTAGATGGCTGCGGAACTCGCTGCGCTCGTCCCGCAGAGGTCCACCCATAAGTTCCGCAATAATCCACTTATTTGTACTTCAACAATAACTTATCATATAAAGTCAAAATTTATAAGATTATTCTTTTTTTTTTTTTGTCAATTTGCCTTTTAACAGGAATTAGTAATGTTACTTTACCAAACTTGTAACATTGATGTGAACAAGTTATTCAAGTGCAAATGAGTGAATTGTTGCGGAATTTATAAGTGGACCTCTGCGGGACGAGCACAGCGAGTTCCGCAGCCATCTCTTCATCAATATGTTGTTTAATTACGATATTAACCTGACTCACTCAAATGTGAGTTATTCTCAGTTTGAAATGTATACGTTTCCGGTGAGTTTCTTATTTGAACAGTTCAACAGTATTATATTGGTGTGTAGATGGCTGCGGAACTCGCTGCGCTCGTCCCGCAGAGGTCCACCCATAAGTTCTGCAATAAGCCACTTATTTGTAGAGGGTGTTTTTTTTTTATAACACCCCACCTACAGCCTTCACCTTTACAGGTAGAAGAAAGGTGTAAATACAAAAGTTGTACAGTTTTGGCGGAATTTTAAGAAACTATGGTCAGAAACAAATTTGAATATCAGAAATGTTAAATTGTGCATGCTTCCAGCCCCAAATATAGACAAACTATACAGCCTTAGATTTGGGAAATTGTGCTCTTCAAGAATATAGAAACAAATATAGTGTATCCCATTTGAAAAAAGCTGAAAGCATGCAACATTTCACATTTCTGACATTCAATTTTTGTTTCTGAA